ATTCATTGTATCTGATTTATCATCACGGGTTTATTACGAATTAATTTGATGGCCTGCTCCCAGTTGGCTTGTTAGCTCAATTGGTAGAGCGCTGCACTAGTATCGCAGAGGTCAGTGGTTCGAATCCCGTACAGGCCTGATTTTTTTCAGGTCTGATTTTCGCTATTGCATAAAATAGCGCTATCTACTGCGAAGGATCGTGCATCATACGAATATATGAATGATGTAGAACAAGTAGTAAATGATATGAACGCAAAGGTTTAAGTTTATAAACGGCAATGTCAACAACATCCGTCTTCAAGAGGTTACTATTTAGTTGTAATCGGTCCTTGTGACCTCAGTCGACCCCGAATAAACGCCGGGCCCCCGATTAAACGCCCCCGGCGTTTGATGATGAACTTTATTCATGTATGTATGTATGTATGTATGTATGTATGTATGTATGTATGTATGTATGTATGTATGTAATGCACGGAAAGCTCTTCGGATGGAAGTATGGATCCGAAAGGTGAAATATCAAAAGGATACCAGCTTGTGTCCATGAATAGTCTTGTGGAACTTGCGAGAAGGATTCATTCCAATTCGCCATGTTCTTCCGGTCAGATAATTATTTTCTCTTTCGCAATTTACGTTGTATTCATCATAAAATGTGGTTCTTTATTGCTTTTCTCATCATGTGTCGTTATCACTAGGTTATTTCATTACTTTTGATGTTGTAGACCATCTAGAACTTCGAGAAATAAGCACAAGCCGATTTGGCCTCAGTAGCAGCCTATATGCTATCTGTGATGATTGTGGTCTGTCGGAATTTCTGGCCACCGGTGATCATAATCTCGCGGACAATGCCCCCAGAACTGTGCAGGGAAAAGATTTGAATCGCAGAGTGGTTTATGCTGCCAAATGGCAATTGGCAGAGAAGATGTTTCCAAGTTTTGTGAAATATTGACCACGCCTTTTTCCTTGAGCAAAGATACCTGGCACAGTCATGAGGATGCCTTGTTTCAAGCTCATACTGAAGTTGTCCAGGTTGAATTGAAGAAAAACAAGAGGGAAGCAAGGAAGCTGGCAATGATAGAAGAAGGGATCAATGCAGGGCACGAGGACACTGTTATAAACATCCCAGTCAGTTTTAATGGCACATGGTCCAGGAGAGGATAAATTGCCAACCATGGCATCGCTTTTGTCATCTCAGCTGCTGCTTGAAAGGTTTTGGATTATGAAGTCATTTCAGAGGTATGCAACACTTGCATTAAAAAAAAATCATGACTTTGAACAGTGGGCTGAAAACTATAGCTTTCTGGGTAGTTTTGGAGGCTCAAGCGCTAGCATGGAGATGGAATCTGCAAAGCATTTGGGGGCTAGGAGTCAGGACTACTCCATTAGATACAAATTTATGGTTTCTGATGGAGAATCTAAGTCTTATAGTGCTATTTGGAACTACTATGGGGCATGTGACACTTGTAACCAATATGAATCTTTAGAATCAACAAGTGAAGAATACAAAACTTGGAAGGCATCTGAAGATTATGTCAAGTGGGAAAATAAACATCTTGATGGATCTGTGAATTGCGATCGAGAAATCAAACTTGATTGTATTGGACATGTCCAGAAGAGACTAGGAAAAGCTCTGTATGAATTTCAGAGAAGTGCTTCAAAACTAGCGGATAGTAAACCCGTGAAAGGAAGACAGGGTCGATTAACAAAAACAGCAATCGAGAAAATGAAACGCTCTTATGGGAAAGCTATCCAAAATAATGTCAACAGAGACATAACTCTGTAAAAGAGCGAGATGCTGCTGTTGAGGTTATGCAGACTGAAATTATGGCTGGCTTGTACCACAGCTTGAAGATACTAAATAAAGAAAGACACAAGTATTGCCGAAACAATTCTTGGTGCATGTACAAGTAGAAAATTTCTTGCCCCGATAAGCCTTACCACTTAGATCCGGTGTTTGAAAAGTTTGCTTCCTATTTATGAGAGGCTCAGTGATCCTGCCCCTCTTTCAGGCTGTCTTCCTGGGTTTATTCAAAATGCAAATGAGTCTATCAATTCATTAGTGTGGATTAGATGCCCAAAACAAAAATGGCATGGAAGGAAAAATATTCTCTTGGCAACAGCATCAGCTACCCTTCAATTTAGTGCAGGAGCAACAGCAAAGCATGAGCAAGCAAAACAAAGAGACGAGGAGCAGCGGAGACAAAAAGAGGGCAAAACATACAGTGCTGGTGCTTTCAATGAACTGACTGTTACTACAGCACCACCAAAAAAGAGAAAAAAAATTAAAAATTGTGATTTATAACTAGAAAATGATCTCACGATACTTTAATAGGGCTGCTTTTTAAATCGATTAATGATTGTTTTGTTTAGTGGATGTTTCACCATTGATTTGTCTTTCGAAATTTTAAGCTACATTTTTCTCCAAAGGGTAT